ATGAACTTTAATATAGGTGCTATTTATTCATTCTATTGTGAGCTGCTGAGTAAAATAAAATTGAACCCTTCTAGCATTTCTTTATCAGACAAATGTTACCAGACAAAATACCGAAATTTCACCTGCCAATGGCAGGGTGGAATCACAGACATTGACCCCTTGTGGTCTTGCTGATTATGAGGTGTACCGCCTTTTCTATATAAGCTGCTAAACTGTCGTGAGTTTAATCCATCCACTACGGGAACAGACGAGATGCTGAACAAGATTACCATGGTGTCAGAATTTCGTTGGTTGCGTAGCCGTCTATTCTCAGTCCTTCGCTGTCATTCTTCCTTGAAATATGGATGGCACCTGGTATGAATTTATTTTTTAACTCAGTCTCTCGGTCTGACGTCAATAACTATAGGGGCATCCATTAAACTCCACCATTAGTAAAATTTACCAAAAAATAATTTTTAATGAGATTCTTGTTTTCTGTTTAGTTAATCAACTTTTCAGTTTAATTCGTCATGGATTTTAGTCTGAAATGTCTTGCGAAAATTATCACTTAGACTTTTTCATTTTAGCGCTTCTCGTCCTAATGTATAGCAGTCATTGGTAATTATCTACCTTGATCTTTATAAAGCCCTCGGCAAAGGCGTCGTACAGACATCTTTTAGTACAGCTGGAGGTCCTCAGCATTCAACCTTCTCTACTCGACTTCACAGGGTCCTGTTATCCAACCTCTGTCAGAGGACCATGATCGGTAATGGCCACTCGACGTCCCTCTCGATCATGAGTAGCGTAATTTAAGGTGGAGTTGTAGGTCCGCCATTCTTCCATCTTTACACTGACGACCTCTCAACAATAATCAGAAATTCGCGGGCAGACAACCTTCTGCGCCCTTCCTCTCTCACCCCACCTGTGTTATAAAGTTAACTTTTGTCGATTTTTCAGTCACTGGGATGTTTGACTGGCCTGAAGAACATTTATCGAAAACATCGTATGCTCGCCAACTCATATTCTGACATTCGTCTACGTTACTGACCTTTAGTGCGTTTATTCATTTTCTAAGGACAATACAAATGCTTGCGTTGAAAAAATTAACTCTGGTCTACTTTGCCCGTGATAATCGAGTTCAAACTGGTGGATGGAGTTTCTTTCCTCTATGCGTAGTTTCATGTGTTAAGGTCACGTCAAGCTTCCTGGCCCCATAATATTCCAAAATAATTCATTTTAAAATATCCCAAAAAGGACATAGGCCTAAGTTGTACGAGGAGGCTAGCTTTACTCCACGTGCAGATCTACGTTCCGCAAAGGCTGCGCAGATGTGGTTTATTTTCACGCAATTTTTCGGTTGGATGTGGTTATGTAGCCCTACCTGATGTAAGCAAACCCCAGCCATCTGTAATACAGGACCGGTGGTAATCGGGGTTTTTACAGGTGGGGCCGGGGAACGCACAAGCGATGAGGTCAAGAAGTCGTACGCAAAAGAAAAGTTATTGGGAATGAGCGGTTGTACTTTGAATGGTTAAAAAATAGTTGCGCTAACCCCTAACCCTAGTCCTAGCTCCTTACTATAACCCCTAATCCAAAACCCAATTCTCTAATCCTAACCTTTAACCCAACCACCTAACCATAGCCCCTAACCCTAACCCCAACCCCAACAGTATTGTGTCCATCAGGTGGAGCTGCCAAGCCAAATCTTGCCAATTTTCCATTCGCATCTCCAAATATTGCTATGCTTTCTTCGGTCTGATGAATGCATTTGGCCGAAATGAAACCGAAAGGTCTTTAGACAGTTTTGACTCAAATGCTCGTCTCCTGTTGCCGATTCACAGTTTCTCGAAATGAGAAATTTTATTTTGCGAATTTCGGACTCCTATGAGATAGAAGAATCAAACCCGGACGTCACTCCCTGCCTTGCATTAGTTCTAGGCTGATTTCCCTCGTATTGACGCACCGGTGGATGAACCTTACGCCACGCATGATTCCTCCATGGTCATCTCACTACCTCTTTCCTCTATGTATAGACTTTTGTTTACTGCTTCCAAATATACTCCCCTTGGAATAATCTTTCAGTTTAACATAGGTCAATGTCCAAATTGTCGGTATTCAAATTGAAACTGCGCAAGTATCTTAACTCGAAGGGTAGACGATCATTATTGTTCGCTACATTCCCTAACAACCAACTTCTCTACTTTGAAAAGGGCTTGCTTGGGATTTAGGGGTAACTCTTGCATGCGTTACTTATTCAGTTGGAAACATTCACTTAATTCTAACAACTACAATGTTCACAAATGGTTGCCAAATCCACTGATATTGTCCAGCTCTAAAGACGATCTTTGCGACTTTCTTCGACTCCTTCGCGTTTCTATTCTTAGAGAAATGTTTGCGGTTGTGATGCATTCCTCCGTTTCGCGACTTCAATGGTCTTTTCTGAAGCCTGTCAGAAAATACCGTGATCTAGTCTACTGCGCTACTTGCGTACACGTTGCCTATTTCGGTTGTGAAATTGCCCTTCGACGAGAAACGTTTCGAATTCTCAAAAACACTCAGCGGCTAAGCAGTCCCGTTCTGCACATATGTTCCTCTCATAAGCGACAGTTTCTCTCCTTAAAACGTCGGTAATCGCTTTCATTTTATATTGCCTTTCGGCGAATTATTCATATGTAAGTAGTTTTTCACAGTTTGCTCAACTTCATGATTCAATGCCTGCTCGTAACTTTCAAAACGCCAGTAAACAGGCTTCCAATCTATCAGTCGTCAATGCTATAAACACAAACTTGACGCTGTGCATGATTTCTTATTCGTTCCGAAACGTCTTCAATATTTTTTGACATTTCTATTGACAGTACCCGCATGGTTCCTCAATAAAATTGCTTTGATTATTATTATTATCATTGATCAGAATAAGAAGCGATCGCCGGAACAAGGTCTTTATTCGCCTGAGGTTTCGGATTCTCACTTGAATCCATCATCAGAGACAGTAGCAGAAAAGGGTGACTCGTGCACAGGAAGTAGCAGTATTTATAGGATGCAGTCGCTACGCTACCGCATACCTATAGCAATTAACCGCGCTCCCCTTCATCGCTCGCATCTTCGCTTGTATCGATTATTATTATTATTATCAATTTGGGCGACTTGGACACGCTGACGCAGTGGCCATCGCGAATTCAATTTATTCCATTTATTGCATGTGCAGTCAAATATTTTTGCTTACTTCCCATCAGAGTCATTGCTGTTCAGAGTGATTTGCCAAGGCACATAAAAGTTATGCAAAAATTCACCATCTCAAAAGAACTATCAGTCGACATTTTGCGATCAAATCGGCAACTTCCGGCGCTGTATCCACTGAATTCACCATTTGCGTTGATGACCTAGGTTGACTTTGGGTTCCTGCTTTGCCACTTTCCGAGGGCAACGGTGCCGACCCTACTGTCTGTTGCCCATCCGGTGGGTTTTTCTGTTAGCGGAAAAATATTGTTTGCTCCTCGACTTCTTTTCTGACCCACAGTCCCCATCCTATGAAAATGCTTTGTGCATTCAACGTCCCGCTGCCCTCGTAACTGCCGATTGGCGCTCTGAACCGCGGTCATTTCTTCAATCGTAGTTTTTTTCTCTTGAACAATTCCATCGCGCAAGCAAATGCTTTTTATTCAAATCTCATCTAAACTTTCACTCCTGTCAGGATGGCTCCATTATTTGCCCATCTATGTTTATTCCGATAAGGTCTGCAAAGTGACACTCAATGTTGCTATCATTCTATCGGATTTTTAAGAACAGCAGAAGGATTGAAACACACGCAGCTAAATGCCAGCTTGGACAGATCACAACGCCGGTTTGAATAATTGCTAATAATCCTTCGATCTAGCTGCAGGCAAATAAGTGGACTTTAAATTTATTAACACTTCGATAGTCATCAACACGACCTACTCAAGGACTTGTGTGACCTCGACTTTTGAATGCTCCTCACTCTCAAGCCATCTTCTCCCCCTGTCAAGGAGACCAGAAATTTTTACGAACAGGTTTCGAGGGTGCGTGATGGGGACGCTTGTTCAGTTAATCTTGGAATATTGCCTTCAGGCGTATAGTCACCGGATGAATTGTGATTACGCGCTATTTAAGAAGATGTCTACTAGATCTGCCGACTGGTCAACAGATTAAAATCGCTACCATTTAATGATTACAGTTTTATTTTTCAGCTCCTGGGAGCATTAGCAATGCAAAGTGGACTTTTATTCAAATAAGCAAATGTACCCAGAAATGTTGACCGAGATTTGTATATGTGGAACCAAATGTACAATGCAATACCCACAAATTCTAATTTGAACGTTTTTAGATAGAAATGGGGTGGGCTCTGGGTGAAGCAGTTTTCCTCCCCTAAATATTTAACCTGAGTACGCGGGCCATCTGAACCCTCGCCAGGCTTTCAGTTAAGGAGGGGTGGCACAGGTTCGAATTGAGGGCAACCGTAATTATAGAGGCCGTTCAAAAAGAAAGTCAGAAGCATCAAAATAAGTGCATGGGCGGATGCTGAGTTACGGCAGACCTGGGGTGAAACCGAAAGCGGGAATGAGGACACGACGTCCAGGCCCAGAACCCTGGTGAGGGTAGTGGCTAGCGAAATTGGTGCCGTATAACACGCACGCGTCATTATTTGTCTGAAAGATGGGTTGGAGAGGACATCGTGTTCTCTGAGTGTCACGATGCCTGGACCGAGAAAACCCGATTTCCGATGATAGACCATAATGAACGAAACCAATGCAGATGAAAAGGTGCAAGCGAACACAATAATCTGGACATGACCTCCTGGGTGCGAGCGTGTGGAGGCGTGGAATGTATCGGCAGTTATAGTGATATCAGTAAAGATGAGAATTTTATGTCCAAATTCCCGATGACCCTCTCTCGAATAAATGGAGAAAGCTGCTAGGCAAGGGTAAGGAGGGCAATACAGTAGTCCAGTCAGTGTTGTGATAAGTGCTGAGAGGCTAGAAGATGGCCTGCCGTCGGCTGGCAGGCTATTCCAACGTAGCGCATTCTTGGAGGCGAGGAAAAATAGAACATCTGGGGTAGAATGAGGATGGGGAGGGGAGGCGGAGAAGGAGGTGAAAAAGAATAAGAAGAGGAAGAAGAAGGAGGAGGAGGAGGAGGAGGAGGAGGAGGAGGAGGAGGAGGCGGAGGGGGAGGATGAGGAGGAAATAGGAAGAGGAGAGGAGAAAGAATAACCAAGGAAGGATTACGGAGGTTGTACGGGCGATCGACATGAGTAAACGCTGAAATTCAAAAAAATAATAATTAGTAACCCGGAAAAGGAGTCAGAGGCCTATTTTAAGTCTCCCAGTCCACAGAAATCTTATGCTGGTTAGCTGGCGTCTGCTCGTGTGGGAGGTATTTGAATGTGCCGGCACTCAAAGTTTCCTAGTGAAATGTCGACGGACACCTTCTATCTTAGAAAGGCTACGTTCATTCATTTGCCGAAGGGGAGGTTTAGGAGCACAGATGTTACATCGACAGACAGATTTCCATATGAGGAGGTCAAGAACGTGTTAGATAGACGTCGAAAGTTAGGGGTAGGTGTTGTGAGTTTCAGTTCTAGTTCAAAAAATCGGGAAGGTGCCGAATGCGTGAGATTTCAAATGATAGAACATGAATTAGCAGCTGTTGTTTGTGAGTGAACTCAAATCAGTGAGCCGTGAACGTAAATCTTCGTGCTGAGTGACCAGATCGACATGGTGGTTGTTGTTGTTGTGCTTTAGTGTCAAGCATCGAGAAATCCCCGCGCCTTTTTGGCGTTACCATAGACGACCACTCTAGTCCCGTCCTAACTGAAGTGATGATCGCACTCAAGGCGCAGGCAAACACGAGAGACAAGGGGTTCCATCAATGGATGGCCAGCTTATGTCCGTTAAGGCGGATCCCTAGTCGTCGGCAGGTACGGCCAACATAAACGTAAGAGCGGTTAACACATGAGATACGGCAAATGACATTTGTTTGCTGCTAACTGAGTGTGGAGTTGATCAGAAGAAGAAGCGATCGCTGGAACAATGGCTTTATTCGCCTGACGTTTCGGATTCTCTCTTGAATCCATCATCAGAGACAGTTGCAGAAAAGGGTGGCTAGTGTACACGAAGTCGCAGTATTTATAGGATCCTATAAATACTGCGACTTCGTGTACACTAGCCACCCTTTTCTGCAACTGTCTCTGATGATGGATTCAAGAGAGAATCCGAAGCGTCAGGCGAATAAAGCCATTGTTCCAGCGATCGCTTCTTCTTCTGATCAACTAGTTCCTGGAACTCGCATCTTCGCTTGTATCGGTGAGTGTGGAGTCTTTTATTCGGGATACTGATGTACGCAAGGGGGGACACCGACTTGTGGACGATTCAGACGCCAAACCGGTTTAATTGTCAGGTGTTCGCTTCGGAACTTCTGGACATCCAGAGCAGGGAGTAGAATCCCCGTGGCACACTGTCTCCGTTAGAGTCGATGCCTTGTTGTTGTCTCAGACATCTAAGACAGTTTTTCACAAACCTGTTCGGGTATCCACTGAGCTGAAAAAAACCATCACGCGTAAGCCAGCTCACTCTTAAGTGAATCATTGCGGCTGTACCAATAGGCCCAATGGAAAAGAGTTCGGACGCAGCTTCCTTTATGGGCCGCAGGATGGTTGCTCTTATAGCTAAGATGACTTCGGCATTAGAGTCCTACGATAATCGCTTGTCGTCACTGAGTCTCTGTATACTCACGTCTAGAAACTGGGGGGCTATCTCCTGTTGCTTCTTCTCAAGTAACTTGTAGAGCTTAGGAGGCGACATTTGGACTATGGTGAGATTGTCCATCACCGTAGGTCTTTATGAAGACGAAGCTGTCATCGATTTATCTGAGCCACATTTTGACCGAAAAGTTAGCACAACTCTCCTTGCTAATCATTGTGGATCTGAGTCTGCGAATAGCCCGATATTGGCGAACCCATTCAGACACCCTTACCTTGTTGATAATACTTGTCATGGAAATGAAAATAGTTATTGATGGAGAACTGAAGCACTTATAAAATGTGTTGCATTAGAGTGTTGATAGGATCGTCCTGCAGACACCGGGCCAAGCTCTCCATTGTCAAGTCATGCGGTATTGAGGAAAACAGGGCAGACATATTAAATGATAGAATGCCTTCACCAAGACTTCCTTCAAGACTCTGGATCTTTTAAATGAATGCGTGGGAGTTTTTGGCGTTGAATTGTGATCAATCCGTAAAGTTTTCATCAAATTTCAGGAGGATGAAAATTAAAAGAAACGAAGTCATAAATTTGGCAGCTTTGGTTGTAATTCTGCCGGAATGCAGTGAGACATCTAGATTATTGGCGCAGTTTAAGCCTAAGTCCCTGACTGAATACACTCTATCCTTTGATCATGGCAATGATTTTTGGCGGTACACCATCTAGCGCCATTATCCGCCGTAGGGACTCACGAAGGACCAAATCGAACGCGGCGGCAAAGTTAACAAAGCAGACGGCCTTCGGTGGCCGATAGTTATGCCGGACTTCGAGAATGCGTCTCAGTGTGAATACCTGTTCCGCCCATCCACATCCGGCACGAAATCCGGCTTGGTTGGGCCTTGTTCTAGAGTCACGCACAGTCTGGAATCGCCTGAGTTGGACAATAACGAAGATCGTCCCAGCAACGTCGATGGAGCTTATGCCGCGGTAGTTCTCGCTCCTTGTCTTATCTCCCCTCAGGAGTATAGGTACTAGGATGCCTAAGCCCCAGTCATCAGGAGCAACCCCGTTTCTCAAACCCTGTTCAACCACCTCATGGAGCCAGGGCACCAAGGTGTCGACACAAGAGTTGTGGATTTTGGCAGATATACCGTCCTCTCCGGGTGCCTTATTGTTGCGTAGCTTTCGTATGGCATCGGCAACCTCATCTTCAGAAGGGGGGTCACATGGCACTACATAGGTGGGAGAGGGAAGAAACTCCACTGCAGAGGAAAGCAAGGACGTGGTGGGTTGGTTATCGAGGTTGAGATGGTGTTCAAAGTGCTCACGCCAGTGCCCGACTTCGATCGAGTTGTCAACAATAAAACCGCCATTCGCGTCGCGAACAGTGTCACTCAGTGCATAGAGCTTACCACTAACTTGGTAGATAAGTTGGTAGAGTTCTCGAGTGTCAGAAACTTTCGAGGCCTGTTCCATGGAAGTCACTATTTCAGCCCAATATTGTTTCTGGTCATCTCTGGCCACGTTCGCCGTCGTCTTTCGAAGTTGGCGGAAAGAAACGTCGTTACGGGGACTGCCTCGGGCCGTCTGAGCAAACAACTGCAGGGTTCTTCCGCTGATCCAGTCACTGCGGTGTCGCTGGGTATATCCAAGGATTTTTTCAGCGGCCCCATAGACTGACGTTTTCAGTGACGACCACTGGTTATTACCCTTTTCATTGGCTGGGGTCTTCAAACAGGTCCGGATTTCTCTGCTTAAGGGCCTGGCAGCGTTGGTTTGCTAGATTTTTCCGAGGTAAACTCTGGTCTTGTAACCGCAGCTGATGAACATAATACTGTTGCGCTACTTAACTGTTTTGAGGCGTCTAGGACGTGTCATTTTTGGGGCGGATGAGAGGACATGGTCTGACCCATAGGTGTTACCAGTCTCGGCACCACGCTTCGAACTGCTATCATGAACCCAGCTACGCAACCTTGAGCTGAATATTATGCTGTCAATCTGACTGGCCGAATGACCATCGTTTTAATACCAGTTCAAAAGATGTTTGTTGTGATGTTGGAAGCACCTGTTCGTGACAAGCAGTCGGTTCTGATCAACAGAGTTCAGTAATCTCTCGCTTTTTTCACATCGGGAACCAATGCCAAAGCGGTCAAGAAGATGACTGTTTGTGGAGTCGTCAGATCCAGTCCGACCATTCCAATCCCCGGCAACAATCAGCAGACGCGGCGAGTGAGTCGTTCAACTAACGCTTGCAACTGTGAGTAAAACGCCTCTCTATCGGGCCTTTGGCAGCTGAAGTTGGTTCGTACACAGAGACAATGGAGATGTTCATGAAATGATCCTTCAGTCGCACATAGACCATCCGGTCATTAACTGGTTTCCAAGCAAATGAAGCGAGGTCCGCTTGATGCGGGAGGGTGATCGCCACACCGTGTCCGCTAGAAGAATTGAGCGGGCCTCCGTGGTACAGGGTGAAGTGTTATTCGACTTCAGGGATCTTTATTTCTCGAGAGCCTTGGTCAGGAAGTCGAACTTCAGACAAAAAGCAAACATCCACGTTGTTCTGATTAAGGATGATCGCGGCCGGACTTTGAGTACCGGGGTCCAGTAACGCTATTACGTTCCAGCATCCAGTGTCAAGTGTCCGTCTCGACTGAATAGTCCAGCTTGCATACTATTCACCCGCACCACTGAACCAGGGTTAACGGAGCGCGTCGGTTCCCGTGGACGCCGTAGCGTGAGTCGTAATACTGCAGCCGGACATATTTCATGAGGTTTCTTGAGAAGTTGAAGTACAGGCGGATCCCCAGCAGCTGCTCGGATTGCTTGTTCGAGGTTGTCTCCCCTATCGCTTTGGCTTAAAAGCCTAACCCAAAGGCAGCGGTGGCAAGCAAACTTATTTAATGGTGGTTCATGGCCGCCATGTCACAGTGCCGTCATCGGGTTTTGCGACTTTTTTATAAGGCTATCAGCGTGTCAGACCGTAGCCCTCCGCACCCTATAAGCACTGTCGCTGCTGGTCCACGACTGCTTATTCGTCAAAACTAGGTCTGCTTATCTCGCAGTTAACCTTCACTGAAGGCCGTCCCACTCTCCGCCACCTGTGAACGCGCCGGGCAGCCAGTAGCTAGGTTAACGGGCAACCTGTCTTCCCGTGTGGTCTAAGTCCGATTGAAGTCTTCAACCAAGCATCATGCCCACGTTCACTTCGACGGCGGCCATGCTAGACCATGTCATAACAATATTCTATGCAATGTTCTAGATAAATTGCCACCTGCCGTGTGTTTGTCGTAAAAGGGCAAACCTCCTGTCGGTCAATTTGAGAGTTTTTTGACGTGTGCGTACACACGATGAATTCAGTTGCATTTCCCTGAGCCCTTGAGTTTGTTCCTATGTATCTGTATTTTCGCCCAAACTTTTCTTTAATCGCTGTCTCCCCGCTAACCTGCATCCCATCTGCCGATAGAAAAGGGAATATTCGAGGTCAGGGAAAGTAGGAGGAGGAATAAGAGAAGGAGGAGGAGGAGAAGTTTATTCCGGAGGTCATACAGCGGTAGGCCAGTCAACAGACCGACGTCGCACGGCTGGGAACTCCAACCAAAAAAGACCCGAAATAAATAGGCCACGCTTCAGTCACGTCCAGTCACCGAGATCATTACCAACCGTACCACTCCATCCATAGGGACAGACCTACCAAACAAATTTAATGCAGCAAGTAGTACCTCCAGGGTCGTGTGCTTGGGACCAAACGGTCATCGAAACCCAAAATTGCTAATGTACCTCAGAAGTTCAACCGTCGGCAACGGCGATTTTCATCGTTCGTTCCACAGCATGCCTGGCGCAGGGAAGGTGACTTGCGCGTGAATTAGTTTATAATGGCGTCAGACTTGCCCAGCATCCCCCCGCATCCTATCCCCTCTCACTTTCCTGGGCTCAGTGACAAAACAAAGTCGAGACAACTAGTAGAGGGCTCGGGTGCAGCGTCTGACAAAGCTAAATACCTTGTCTGCGCGTGCCACCCGCGTCTAGTCCACGCACAATGAACCAGGTTTCACACAAAAATGGGGGGAGAGGCTCGGATCCCATAGATGTGGACGCGCCGTACAGATCATATTTAGAAGGAGTCATTGGGCCTGACTCGCCGTCCACAAAGGGTCGATTTACTCCGTCACTTTGCTGCCTTTTTAAACCACGAACTTTGGCGTGTCGTAATGGTTTCGAAGCGTCATATATTTTTATGCTGAGGAATGCGTTGTGGAATCGTGCAAATATAATCCCCAGAGTCGCTATCACTCTCTTCCCTATCCCATGTATCAGTTCGTTATCCGAGTCAGTCAGTTATCTAATACTACGGAGGAGCGTAAATGACTGGCACGGCGTGAAGCCTGCACCTAAGCATGCCAACACACCTCCCCCCGCCGGTGGCATTTGTCATGGGATGCGCGGACTCTGCACAGCCTGGTTAACGCGTGTTATGTCACAACCTCGCGCCCGTTTTGGTTCGGCGCCTCTATAGCGCAACCCCTTATGCGGACACAGCAAATACGCCTGGTGGTCTAGGTCGAAGTATCTCTCGTCAAATTGAAAAAGCACCGGTCTAAGTGAAGAAGCTCGCATAAGCACGCGTATCACAGAGAGCATAACTGCTGGATAGAGTGAACTAGTCCCCTCCGTGTCAATAGAAGACTGAAACGCAGTCGAAACCTAGATGGATAAGAAGAACGATAACGCATGGCTTGTGTCATCGTCAGCTCGTCCGATCGCTCTTTAAACTCACCAAGGTGCGAGATTACAGTGGTAGCATGCACATTTCCGGACAGAGGGTGATGCCTGATAATTTCCGAACTTCCGAAACTGACATCTAGGAATTCCAAGGGGTAGGGTTCTTCAAACCTACGTCTTTTCCATGGCACCCGTAAAAGAATTCTGCAGTCCACTTAGAGTGACCGCAGTGTTAAAAGTCCACCGAATCTGAAAACCCTCCTTTGACCCGCCAGGGTTTCTATGTCCTCGGTCCCTTACAATATTGGTAACTTGTGAAGAGCAGGTTAGACTTATTCTTTGAAGACGTCTCAGAAACAACAACACCAACCATCACTCTTTTCAGCCGGATTACAGACCCATAGCAGGGATTAAACGCCGATGATTTGTTCTGGAACAGATATAAAGGACTCCGAAATGAGGATTAGGGTCTGGGGATCTACAGCAATCAGATAATGCAGAGCCCTCCCATATTCCGTTTAAACGAGCAAATTTGGACGACGGTGGGGTTTATCCAGTAAACGGAGGCCCGAGGTGCAATATCGCATGTCTTCATACGTATGAAGGTTGAATTTGCATATATCAACGCACAGAGTATGCTGTTCAGTTCTGATAAATATAAGGTTACATTTGCGATCTCTCTGATGGCGTCATCGTCAAACACTTTGCCCAAAGCAAGTCTTTAGCCAACATATATTGGACGTGACGCTCAAGTCATTCCTCACTCAGCACACCTTGTTGCCGACGGAGGACAGTCACATTACTGCCCATTTCTGATGTCCACGCAATCACTGGGCAGCAGTGATGAGATGCAACATAAGCTTCTCTAAGCGAAGAGACCACGTTCTACTTCTCTGGGAATATTCCTTATTTTCGGTGCTTCAAAAGTCTCCTGACGTCAGAAGCAATGATTGGCTCAGTGAGTTTGGTCAAGTGAGAGCCGAATTAAACCGCAAGGACTGCAAATCAGCCTTTTCTGGAGACGTAATCGAATGTTTGGAATGGTTCAGTGAGCTATTGCACATGCTCCTCCAAGACCACTGCCCGATTTCAATGAAGAAGCTGAAAAAGAAGTCCCAGCGGCTGGCACAGGCTTTTAAAGGGGAAGCGAACTAAAGCGGCGGTTATGGGGGAGATCTGTCATCAAAATGAACCAAGTTTCCCTAAATGCATACACAATGTAGAGAAACCTGGTCAAATGAGTTAATCTAAGAGCACGGAAAAACTTAAATATATACCTGCTTACCAGGGTCGCGGATGATTACATAAGACGGGATAGGCGAAACAGAGATCTCGTGCTCCTGGTGAAGACTAGCAAAGACATAGGCATAGATGAGGATGGGGAAAAAATCGGGGTACCTTTCAAAATTATAACGTTCGTTCTCCCGAGCAAAAGTTCCTATGAAATTGGCGAGATTCAACAACTAAGACTGTGCCTCTCTCCGGCACGACTGTTTATAGAATTGCAGACGGTGAGGAAGCCAAAATCGCCGGGTCCGATGACACCACCGAAACTGCTGAGGAATTGGTTAAACTGCCTCGTTTAGGGTCGTCTGTTTGTTCACCGACTGGCAGTCCGCATGGATTGCATGGCCATATACACTTGGCATCAACGTATCTGCGAATAATTACAGACCACTTAACCTCACCTCGATCCGCTGCAAAATTAATGAAAAAATAATGCAGCAAAAACAATGCGTTTCCAAAAGTAGCAT